CCACCTGGGCTTCCAGAGTTAGACTGGGATCAAGGGGCACCCCCAAGCTGCGGACCCTGTCCCTTAGGGGGAGTGTATCCCCATTCAGGGCAGGGAAACGGCCCTCCAGCCTGTCTGGCAAAGCACCCACTAACAGCACTTCCGTCTTGTCTGGATTGAGTTTCAATTTATTAACCCTCATCCAGTCCATTATCAGGTCCAGACATGAGTTCAGCACAGAAACCACCTCACCTGGATTAGTAGAAAAAGAGAGGTAGAGCTGAGTGTCATCAGCATATTGCTGTCTCCTCAGCCCAAACCTCCTGATGACCTCTCCCAGCAGTTGTAAGGTACATTAAAAAAAAGTACAGAGGCATAATAACAGTTCTAAGGCACATAGCCTATATTCAGCACATTGAGTGCTCCACTAGTTTGTGGGAGATGCAAGAAATGGCTGCTACATAGCTGCGAAGACTCTTAAGCATGGTGAACAGGTTTTGTTCTATGGATTATACGTTTGTCTACTCCTTTGCAATTTAGGCTGGCAGTTTCCAGACTCTGTCTGAGGGAGCTCTGGGGTTCTAGCTTTGGCAGTTCTACCACGAGTTTCTTAATGAAGCCAAAAATGTCTTCCTCTCCAGTATCAATCTGCTTCTGCAGAGTGCAGCTATAGGACAGTGTTGGATTGCCGATGGTGTCGCATTCAGAGTTTTCACAGTGAGGTCTGACAGACATGTCTAGTTTGGAATGCTTGTTTATCCTAGAACAGCGATGACGAACCTATGGCGTGTGTGTCACAGCTGGCATGCAGAACTCTCTCTGCAGGTTCGTGAGCCATGAGTCGCCAGATCACTACTGCCCCCTCCCGCAGCCAAACCTGAGGAGGCGGCTGCAGCCATGGTGTTGGTGCCCCGATAGGCGGCAGGCGAGGATTTGGAGCAGCTGGCGCTGGGGGTGGATCTGGAGTGGGGTCTTGAAGTACCTCCGTGCCCGGGATTCCCCCTCCGTCCCCGCTGCCCACTGGGTTTCTTTTTTAAGTTTGGGTACTTGGGTCCAAAAAGGTTCGCTGTCACTATCCTAGAACATACCCAGACTTTAGAACGTTTGTGATGAGATTTAATTGTAACAACAATACTTTTTTATGCAAGACAAATTTGGTATTGATCTGCTCCTTAAAAATAAAAAAGAGATTAAAATAAAAAAGCAGATTTAAATAACAGCCAGATGATGATGATGATGATGATGATTCAATTTTTAAAGGATCTGTTTTATTTTTTGAAATCATTGGCCAGAATTCTAGTGATGTTCCTGTAAGGTTTGCAGAACTTCCTTAACTAAGGGACAAGATGGCAATATATATTTCACTTGGTCATGTGCTCAGTTGCGCAACCAAGATGAACCTTGCCATCTCATCATTACATCTGCAAGAGTGGGTCAGGCCAGCCCCGGGGCACAGAGGTGCTACCTCTGAACACATACACACCCACAGACACCCCGTGGATGCATTAGCCATGGCACAAATCTTACCTTAATCTTAGTGGGTTTCTGGCCACTAACTTTTATCCAGTTTGCTGGTGGTAGACACTCATGTGTTTCTTGCAGGGCAGTTCAATATGCAAAATGAATTTCTGATGATAGAATACTTGAATATGACTGATTTAGGTTAAATACTAACAGATATAGGAAACCTAGAGTAAGTAGCTTGGGGAGAGTAGTATGAGGTTTTTTTTAATGAGAGATGAAAATGGGATATTGTCTTCTCTTTTAGGTGAGAAGATGAGCAGCTACGGTTCAGAAACATTGAAGTTTGGGATACTTACCCGTAAATCCAGAGAGAGAGAGAAATTATAGTGCTTAAGATAAAAAGAGATGAAGGTATGATAGAAGTGAGTAGCCATCGTATTGCTTGGGACAAACAGTGTGGAACAGTTGCTATCTGAACTTAAAGATACTGACAGGGTTAGTGCATGTACCCCTCTATTGTCTTCACTGACTGACAGTGCCTCTGCAAAGACTTAATACGTCATCTATGGAAGCTCTATTTAAATGGAAATGAAATCGGGATATTTTGCATTCAAAGGAGGTGTTCATTGAGTTACAGTTTTTGAATACATAGTCTCTTATGAAATAATATCATCAGAGTCTTAGTATAAATATGATTTTGAAGAGCTCATTGAGATATAAAATCAAAATATGTTTCCATAAAGAACTGAGGCCAATATTTGATATCAGGTGAATTGCTAGCCTTTCTGAGAGGCTGTGAAATAAATTTCATTTTGTGAAAGGCCAAAGTTAGTTTATAAGGGAAATTGCCAATAATCCACAAGGTGTGATTATTATTTATATGAGACTGTACTGAAACATACCAATTGAACTTAGAAGAAGATTGCACTGCATTTATATTAACCACCTCATTATCCTACAGTGTAATTTTTGGAGAGATAGGCATAGTATACTGTGGAACATCTTTCTAATTTGGAATTGTGTGGAATTTCAGCAGACTGTTGAAACAATTTTATTCACCTTTTGTTTTAAAATGTTTATTAGATATATGCATTTCTTCATTAACTAGCTCCCCAGTTTGGTAAATAAAGCATTAAAACAAGGTCATAACAAACCATATTAAAACAGAGATCCTTAAAACAACCCAAAAAGCACACTTTACATATGAATATATGTATATCAAATGTTCTGTTGATTAAACAGTTTGTCAGTTAATACTTCAGCTGTCAGCTGAATGAGACTACTTTAGATATGCCTGTGGCACAGTGTTATACAGTACATGTTGATTCATATTTGCCATACATGTTCATTCAGACATAGAGAGTGTGTCTGTGTATGTGCGCGCATGCATGGACAGGCATGTTAAACAATGTAGACAAGAACAGAGTCTGTAGTGACTTTTAAAAAGACAATTTTTGTATGTAAATTGGAAGAGTGCCCAGTGACATAAAAAAGATTCTCAGGAAACGAGGGAAGGTTATATATGTAACCTGATACTCATAAGTGGATTTCTGGTTCCATTTACAAAATGGAACTGCTACTTCTGACGGTGGGAGAGGTCATTGCACCTCACTAGGTAGCTAATGCCCGCCTTAAGGAATTGTCACTCTCAAATTGGCCTTCTCAGCCACACTAGACACTGTTCCAAGTCCTCTGTTCAGAGTGCGTGACCATAGTCTCCCAAGACTGAAGGATGCCTAATCTTACAAAATGGATTTCAGTAGGCAGGGTTGTCAGTTGGAGTAATAATGTATAAAGTTGAAATTAATATGCCAGGAGCTACCTTACTTCTTTTCTCATCTAATTGTATTGGCTTAGATCCTGACGTTTTGCTTGTTAAGGACAGACAAGTTCTACTAATGTAGTGGGTTCATGTGCTCATGGAAAGACTGCTTTTTAACCACATTTATGAACATAAGGTTCTGTTAATAAAACAGAAAGTTTAGGACCCAACTTATAGTGTGAAAATAATAACAGACATTTAAATCAACCTTAAGCTAAAATTAGTTTAAAAGGAAGATGCTCATAGAATAAGACAAATATTTCAAGATGTTACTGCATTTGTTGAATGTTTTTAAGAGGAAAACCTTTAGAATTAACTAGATCAGTCTGTGCATTTATGATTAATAAATGTAACTGTGCTGTTCACAAAGGATTTTTGCACGTGTATTTTGATTTATATATTAAAAATCTGTCCTCAAGAAGAATCTTAAAAATACAGAAGTTCCTTTAGGATACTAAAATATATGCTCTTGAATTATTTATATGAAGAAATGTGATAATGTGTATCAAAATGTAGTTGTCTAGACTTAGACATTGCCACTCTTGTATGGCAAAAGGGCGGTGACCATCTGTTTAATATATTTAATGATCTTTTATTAAATGTTACTGTATATGTTTTCATTATTTCCCATTTTATGATGTATTCTGATTGTTTTTATTTGTGGTTAGCTAATTTGAATAATGTATGAACACTGAAAGGATAAAATCTAAGTGAGTTTTTTTTTTAAAATTACTGTTTTTTCTTATTCAGCATTCTGATTTGTTTTCCCTTTTCCAAGGGACACCCTTTCTGTACATCTCTGTTGAGGCTTTTGGTAGGCCAGTGTGTGTCTGATGTAGAATATTGGAGTACAAGAATTTCATTCTGATTCATCAAGCTGCTTCTAATATTTAGGGTTCTGATTGCTGTGTCTGTGCTGCTACTTTCTGATCATCAGCATATTGGGTAAGGCAAAAGAACTGCACATTGATCTTGGAGAAGGCACAAGTTGTGTGCTGTCATAGACTTTCTGAGCGGATTTGGCTGTTTAGGATTGTCTTTTTAGAATGCACAGTAATTTCAGTGCAAGTATTCTGTTTATGCAAAAAATGTATACATGGCTTGAGTTTCAAAACAAGTGGATTGTAGAAAGTGTTCTTATTCTGAAATAAAGGTTGAAATCCTGTTGCTTTGTGAAGTAAGTCAGAAACAGAATGCGTCCATTGACTTAGAGGCACTCACAGAGGAGCTGACTCACTAAATCCCCGCTGATCCAGTGGGCTTGCTCTAGTTGCAATTTACTATGCTAACCAAAGAGCATTTCAGCAGTTTGATACTGCAAGAAGGTCCGGATTCTAGTCAGTCTACCTATTTGCATCTGCAGGTAAAAGAGTTCTTGTATGTTTTTAGGGGTTGGGAAAATGTTATTTTTCTTTGTTTTGTTTTTTCGTAGGGTTTCAGACAATCAAATATTTTTGTTATTGTTGCCTTTTCTGGCAGTGTGTTACTTTTATGGTACTTCATTCCCTCTATTCACTTCAAATTCGTCTTGCTCTTAATTTTTTCTTTGTAATTTATTAGTCTGTGTTATCCATATGGTTTTGAAGAAGACTGAAGCAGTAGTTAGTACAATGGCTTTATTAGTGATTTATGTTTCTTCACCTTAGTTCAGAAATAAAAAGTTACAGGTAACACATTAAAAAGTAGTTAGGTCCTTTTGGCAGTAGCAACCAGAAACATTACTTGTTTTTTTTAAATAGAGATTCTTTGAAATTTATTTCTTTTGCAGCGTGAGCAAGGAATTCTCAAGTTGTTTATTGCAGGTCTCTCCACATCTGCTGGAAAATGATCTTTGATTCCGTCCTTCCTTCCTCTTTTTTTTTTTTCCTCAAAATGCAAACCACTTTTTCCCTTTTGCTTTTTAAAACTGAGACTTAAGCTCTGAGGTTTCCCCCAACAAGGTAAATGCTTTTGGAAAAGCTCCCAGGAAACACTGGCGATGACGGATGCAGGAGGACTTTAGATATATATACACACCATTTTAGGGTGCAGAGGAAGGAGTTCTGATCTAGAGCAGAGTAGTGTAAATTGCAGGAGTAAAATGTTTATGGCTCTGCACATTCAAGTGTTATATAGGTTTAGGGTCCTACACAGAACATGAGGAAGCTACTCCAACTGTTTTTAATTTGTTGAAGAAATCATGTGGCTTTGGTTTCAATTTAAACCAAAGTGGAAGAGATTAAAGTGTTTTGGGTTTCAAGGAAGAGCAAAAGAGAAAAGAAGGGTGGCAACAGAGATAACTTTTTTTGAAGGGAATGTCTGTGACCCCCTTTGGGTTCCAGACAATGTTCCCTTTAATTTTCAGCCCCACTGGATAGGGCTTTGCCTCTCACATGCATGCCACCCCCACCCCTGTGTGGGGTTTGGTCACAACCAGAACTAAAGGGTCTGAAAATGATCACTGTGGGTGCACGGAGGAGGAAGAGTAGCCCTGTGTGGAGAAGGGCAGAGTTGTGCATGTGCAGGTGTGCACCGTAGAGGGAACCTTCATTCTAGAGGTGGGAACTTTGATAGAAACCTGCAGAGGTAGCTAGAATAATATAAGAAACAGAGTCGTAATAAGCAGTAGAATGAGTTTCCTTTTTGCAGGTGAGATAACAGTAATTACAACTTATCCAAGTGGCAGAACAAGTTTTTTTTTAAGAAATTCTAGGTTCACTATACATGTTATTTTCCCCCTTTGGATGGAGATACAAAGGCATATTGAAATGGTCTAAATCCAGTTGCTAGTCCCAACTGGAGTAGACCCATTGAATCTGTTGTTTAATACGTAAGCCAATACTTCCAAGTTCCATAAGTTCAGTAGGGACTGCAGTTCAATTTGTCCCAGTGAAATTAATGTGTTGTGGCTTTTTTGCTTTTTGGGAAGTAAAGAGAATAGTGCTTCACTGTTCTAGGAGATGTTAAGCTTATTACATTTGCCTATGTTTAGGTCTCCGCATGGTTGGACTTTCTTGCAGGCATGTGTCTTTTGCATTGAATCTATGTAGGCAAGATGTTTTACATGTTTTTTCATCCAAATATAAGAATCCCAAACTGATGTCTATTTTTGCTTGTTTATTTTTAGTAGACATCCAGATTACTTTCTCGGTAGGATAAGTAAATCTTCTTAAGTTTCACATTCATTTTACCGAATAGCTTCTTGAGGAGGGATTATAAAATACACTTAAGCTTGAGCAAAGCAATTAAGTTGGGATAAAACTATTCAAACTTTGAAAAATACATGGGGATAAAATTCTTTGAAAACAGCTGTTTGGCAATTTTTGTGTTTTATGAAGATGGGCTAGAATCCAAGTAGTCTTTCTTCAGTAAAAAGTAGAACTTGGTAGGGGGTAACTTTAAGCTATTTCACCCTTCAATCTGCTGCAGGACTAGCCCCCCAGGCCAAAAATGCAAATATAAGCTATTCTTAAAATGTTTTTAAAATAATCCATATCAATAAAATTACCACATGTTCATTTATTGGCAGCTAAGTGCTTGGGAATAAACTATTGCATCATAGTCATTGAACAGTTATACAAGGGTTCAGCAGGAGAGTCCTTATGTCTCAGCTTAACCTAATTTACAAGCATCCCATGAGGGTAAAATCCTGTTCTGATCTCCTTGGATATGTGTAAACCTTCATTCACTTGGACTGACCTACTTCACAGTATTTTTGTGAGGACTCAGGGCCATATATGTTGCCTTGGTTTGTTGGAGAAACAAGCAAGATATAAATGTGACAGATACATAGAGAAAATGTATTCTTGAGTGTTTTTAATGCACCTGTGCTGTGAAGAAGAGGCATGATTTGTATGGCTTGCCACGGGATTTCTCAAATGTATCTCAATAGAGGTAGAGTTGATCTTCAGTGACTGTGGCTTGCACAAGCCATCATAGAGTCAGCAGCATCTTTTTATGTAGTACAGTCTTCAGTCTGCAATAATGTTTGTTCCCAAATATACATTTTTTTAAAAAAAACAGAAAGACAGGATGTGAATTAGAGTAATAAACAGTTGCATGTTGCATTTTCCTCTTTAAACTATGTTAGTAACCAATAATTTATTTTGAATATTTTTTTTAAGGAATAGTGAGGCAAGAACTATAATGTTCCTGAACCTTTTGTCTACTTCTGAGCATTTTTATGGCTTTATGTATAGGAGGAGCATGTTATAATAGAGAGAGTATGAAACAAACCAAAGGAATATGGCTGAGATTTTTTTTAAAAGTATCTTGTCATAGTCAAAGTAGTCTCCTGTTCAGGGATCCAGAGAGAAACATATATTCCACTAGGCATCCCAGAAGTATTGTTCATTTAACTACTTACGTGTTTTGTTCCCACTGGTTTCCTTCACTTTGTTAAGACCTCTGCTATGTTTAACTAATAATCCATAGGTTATTTTAGAATTGAATATCTGACGTGCATGAATTAGTACTGCAGTTTTCTCTTAATTGATCGTCATTAGTGATATAAAGGGCATTCTCCTGAAATGTTCCTAGTCCAATGGTGATGTTCAGTGAGAAATTTTCTTTTGTCCAATTGTTTGTTTTCATGTCAGATGTATTAATTGGGGTGAGAGATTGCTGTTTTTAAGTTCTACTAGATAACGCCTGAATTCATGCATGTGAATAAAGGATAGGCTCTGCATAGTTCACTGTGTCTGGTTGTTGTCACCCAAAACAGAACCTCTGATGGAGATGCTGTTCAATTTGGGGTTTGGTCTTGACCTGTTGAGTACAGAGGCTTTTCAGGGGTGGTGTTCAAAACATTTTCTTTATCTTATTTGAGTGGAAAGTCACGTGAAATTCAAAAGTAAGACCAATTTAGGGGAGTTATTAAGAAGCTAGAACTAGAAGCATATTTTAGGAGCATTAAGATGTCATTTTTGTTCAAATTCTGAGTTCAGCCTTACCAGAGACAAGAAGAAGTATAATCATGTGATGTTCTCTTTAACACTTAGAATACGAGAAAGGTACTTAATTTGGCACCATGTTTTAATTCATTACATTATGGAAAAGTTCATGGCATGTTTATGTCCTGTAATCACTGTCCTGAATTTTTTTTAAAAATCTTGACTTTTCCTACCATTTCCAGTCTATTCAATTTCTGCATTTAGTATTCTGCACCTGTTGTACTTGATTGCTTCTTTCTAAAGTGTACAAATTATTTGATTGTGAAGAAGTATTTAATATTGTAAAACATCTGAAATGACTGAGTTCTGACACTAGGGAAATCAGTAAGTATTTATGGGCAGAATATCATTGCCCAACACCTTGTCACATATGTTTCCAGTATTAGGTTCTTTATTAGCAGTGTTTTGAAGTGGAAAACCTCTTGTGACAATGTTTTTTCCACAGAAAATATTACTTAAAAAAAACAACAAGGTTGGTAATTTAGCACAGTGGTTCTGAACCTTTGTTACTCGGATGTTTTTGAACTGCAACTCCCAGAAACCCCAGCCAGCACAGTTGGTGGTGAAGGCTTCTGGGAGTTGCAGTCCAAAACTCCTGAGTAACCCAAGGTTAAGAACCAGTGATTTAGCACATCAGGAAAAAAGTTGGTCTGGATGTATCTCTTCTCCTCTACCCTTTCTCCTGGCTCAAGGTCATCCAGTGAATTTTTTTTTGTTTTGATTTGAACTAGGATATCCAGCTGTGTCTAGCACAACTGTGATTAATTTATAGCATAGCTGTTTTGAAATCTTAAAAGTCTTGGCCCGTTGGAAAATTGGGTTGGGTTTTTGACAAGTGTTATTTATTTTTACCAAGTAATGGAGAAATAAACATGTTTATTTGAATAATTAAATAAAATGAGATGTTAGAAATAGCCCCCTTTTAGGCCAAAGATTAAAGAGTCTCAGCTTTTGTAATGCGATAATTTTTTTTTATTAAACCTTCTGGCAGTCAAAATAGTATGAATCTGTCTTCTGGAACAGATAATGCTGTTGGTGACAAATTAATATATTACCCTTACCTGAGGAGCATTTAAGAAAAGGTGCCAGTGACTGATAAATATGTTTTTTGAGATGGGAAAAGTATGATGCACAAAAATGTCTAGTAATCTGAAGTCAGACATGGCAGGAAGCTTTTTTAATGTTGAATTTACACTTGTTATTTCTATAAAGAAAGGATGTATTTTTCCTTGATAGGAAAAACAGCCTGTGGATTTCAGTAATTTTTTTATGTTTACAAAATGCCTTCTAGAGCCAGTAAAATTTACAGATTTGTACATCTGTTGAATTTTCAAAACTAGAAGTTTGTAACTTTTAATATTTCTCCAGTGTCTGTCCAGTACTGTATTCATTTTGACTCTGTAAAGGAAGGTACTGCCTTGAGTCTACAGGACCTAATCTGGGTTGTTCAGGTTAGGGCATTTTGAAGGTCATTCAAACTTAGAGTTTTGATAAGTCAGAAGTGGTTTGACAAAATGTAACTACAAAATGTTAATGCATAGTGGAGTTCAGTTCCTCCTGTGCCTCCTTGACAGAGGCTGGATTTAGTGATCAACAGGTTCCCTTCCATTCTAAGATGATGGTGGCTATGGTGGTTAGCACACTTAGTCCTAAGCACCTGTGGACACATTATGGATTGGCAATAGGGACCCCTTTTGTGAATAGACATCATCTTGGCAACTGCACAGTGGAACAGGATTCCAGCTTGCCAAACAGAAGCACTCAGGAAAAAATGCTATATAGAACTACAGCAGTTGGAGGACACCTGGAGATACTGTAGAGATTTCCGCCACAACATGTCTTGTTGATGTTCTGTCCAGAAGTTGCATTTGACCACTACAGTTTAAGAAGGAAGTGGGAGAGGCAATGGCAAAACGAAGCAGTTTTCCTCATCTAGGTCTGTGGGGTTTAGTAGAGTGTAACTTGGCTGGATTGCGACTAGTTCAAAACAAATCTGTTCCATCACAGACCTATTTGGGCATGAAAATATCTTACACATATGTTCTAATTATAGACTTTTGCAACAAATAAGCACAGCAAAGAGCTTCATTTTTCTGTTTAAATTGAGGTTTACTGTCCGATATAAATGCCAGTGTTACAAGCAGAATTTTTAAGTATTTTCCCGTATGGTGAGCATCACTTAAAAGCCCCCAGGAACTTCACTCTTGTTGTTGTTTAGACATGTACACACCAGAGAAGGGGAGAAAAGCCATTGTGGGAAGTGTGATAAAATTGGCCTGTGTATTAATTGAATAATGGGGAGGAGTGGTAGGAAAATGCTTCTTTTCAAGACATTTTTCTTAAATACCGAACCTCAAAATGAAAAAAAATAAGAGCTATTTAAGGAGTATGTGTCATATAGTGCATACTAATTATGGCAGTCTTTCCCAACCTAGTGTTCCTAGATATCTACGATTATAACTTTGGATAAAAAAACATTTGGATTAAATCAGCCTAGCTAGTCGTGAATAATACAAGGAATTATAATCCAAAATGCTGAGAAGACACCAGGTTAAGGAAGGCTCAATAATGTCTGTTTGCTACCCCTATTGGCCATCCATCTATGAGGGATTGGATGTTAAGAGTGAGATGTGGCATACAGGCTTGTAAATACTGTTAGGGTGGAAAAGCAGAAATAGAAATAGAAGGAAGTGATTTCCTTTTACTGTGTCCCAGAATAGCAAAGTAGAAGATTAAGTTTACCAGTGTGATTTATTGGGTAACCTATGAAATCAAATTTTATCGTGTCGGTTGCTAAAACACTGTCAAAAAGAAACATTGTTGACTAAGTTTGCAAGCTTGAGCTAAGTAGTACAGTATTTTGAAATGTTCTTTTAATTTTAATATATTTAATATACCTGGTCCTATTTGTTTATTGTAAAAATACAGTGTTTTCCTGAAAATAAGACATGGTCTTATATTAATTTTTGCTCCAGAAAACACATTAGGGCTTATTTTCAGGGGATGTTTTATTGTTTTCATGTGCAACAATCTACATTTATTCAAATATAGTACAGTCATGCCATCATCTTCTGGTTGCTGTACAGTGCTGAACAATAGTGGAGGGCGGGGTTTCACTTAACTGGGGCTTATTTTGGGGGTAGGGCTTATATTGCAAGCATCATGAAAAATCATACTAGGTCTTATTTTCAGGTTAGGTCTTATTTTCGGGAAAACAGGGTAGAGTGATTGAATTCTCAACAAAAAAGCCCCCAGACTTTGGATGGACTAGGGAAATGCAGAAATGATAAACATACATCTTATTTTATTGAAAAAATGGCAGTGATTAAACTGCTTCAAAAAATACTTGGAAGAGGAAAAAATACTTGGAAATATATTTGAAAGGAAATAATATTTTGAAATATTATTTGGATTTGTGAGTGGTTTTAGGAGATGGACTACAAATGTTATCATAGTTACTCCCTTATTGTTACATATTCTGAGCTCCTGTCAAGAAGAAAAAAACCAAGCATAAACACAATTGTCACAATTGAATTCCTTAGCATTTTTTGTGGAGCACAAAAGCTGGTTTCTGATGCTACTTAATTGTGTTTCAGAACTCTGAAAGGTAACAGAAGGTAGGATGGACGCTACAGTAATACTGCCTATTCTGAAGAAAAAGTTGGCCTTCCTTTCAGGTATGTTTTCTGTCCTTTTTATTCTTCAGTTTCTTCTCTTTAAAAGAATTGATTTGTTGAGCTGTTGTCTGGTTTCCTTTCTCCCATACTCTTTTCCTCTTCAGCCTCTCTTCATCCGTAGTGAAGTGCAAAGCAAGTTTGTTGCTATGCGTGCCCATGAAGCCTATACAGTGGTGCCTCGCTTAGCGAGGTTAATCCGTTCCGGATTAACCCTCGCTCAGCGAATCCATCGTTAAGTGAAACAAAAAAGCCCATCGGAACGCATTAAAACTGATTTAATACGTTCCTATGGACTTAAAACTCACCGTTCTGCGAGTTTTCTCCATTGCGGCGGCCATTTTGGATGCCTCGTTAGCGAGGCAAAACAGCGGTCGCCATTTTGTTTTGGTGGCGGCCATTTTGGAACCGCCGATCAGCTGTTTGCTATGCTTTGATCGCGTCCGCACGATCATTGCATAGCGAAAAAAGCCCATAGGGGCCATCGCTGAGCGAACGCTCCAGCGATGGCCCGGGACCCATCATTGTGCGGTTTCATCGCATAGCGAAGCGTTTGCTATGCGAGGCACCACTGTACTGCTATTAGAGCATTCTAAAAGTAAACCCTGCAAGGAAGCAAGAATGGCAGCCTAGTGGTTGTATATCCATGCTGCCTTCTCAGTGTTAAAGGGAGAGTTGTGTATTGAAACATCTTCATGTGATCAAAAATCTTGAAAAAGAGGGGGTTGTGATACTCCAAAGATAGTCAGGTATCTTCTTCAGATTTAGCTCTATAAATGCAGAGAACTAGGATACGTACAGAAGGCAGTGTTTCCTTTAGTCTCTCTGTAGAGATTAATTAATTAATTAATTCTGCGGGTTAAACTGCAGAAGCCTCTGTGCTGCAAGGTCAGAAGACCAGCAGTCGTAAGATCAAATCCACGTGATGGAATGAGCTCCCGTCGCTTTGTCCCAGCTCCTGCCAACCTGGCAATTCAAAAGCATGTAAATGCAAGTAGATAAATAGGTACCACCACGGTAGGAAGGTAACGGGTGTTCTGTGTCTAGTCGCGCTGGCCACATGACCATGGAAACCGTCTACGGACAAATGCTGGCTCTATGGCTTGGAGACAGGGATGAGCACCGTGCCCTAGAGTCAGACACGACTGTACGAAATGTCAAGGGGAACCTTTAGAGATTAATGAGACCTGAGTAGGTCTAATTTCTCTCCCTCTGGATTGTCTAAGTTTTGTTTTATTATATTTTGCTTTAATGCCAATTCAATACTCTTTTGCCTGGTTTTTAAAGTAATTAATCTGAAAAACATAAAGGGGGTCCCAAACTTACATTTTTACCCAGATGCTGGCCATGCTGGTCTTTTGATCAGGCTGAACAATTTGGGCACCTTGTTTTGACAGATGTTTGGATGCTGTGGTTTTAAAAGCTGGGAGTTTCTAGTTAGCAGGTAATAAAGTTTGTATTACTGAAATTGATGTTGGACCTGGAAATGTTGGCTGGCTGCCTAAATTTTGCACTGTTTTTGTTATGAGGAAGCCATGTCCCTGTTGAGCAGGTTTTGTTTCTTAATGGAGGCTTTGTTTGCTGCTAATGATTTGTATTGAACACTCACAAAGGGCTTTCTTTTCTTTTCTTCCTTAGAATCCTATATATATTCTTAGATATTGAATGGAATGTGATCCATATTTAACATTTCTTAGGTTGTAGTACTAGAAAAGGAATCCTTTACAGTTGATTGATTCATGGCTAAGTCATCACCACATAAAAAGCATTCACCACTGCCATTGTTTCATTTAGGACTAGAGAAATTTGTCACTGTGTAACTGTTTCCTGTTAAGGGTTGCAAAAGTGCTACATATTCAATGTTATACTGGTTGTTCAAAAATCTCTCACACCACTTATGAAAACAAGACTTCCTAGCAGCATACTTTTACAGGAAAAAAATTACGGTAGGTAACAGTGTAGTTGATTGTTCAGCGTAAATATCATTTTACTTTGTAAACTAAGATGGGTTAATTGTTTTTTTAATTTTAATATATATCATTTATGTTTAAGATGCTTTCGTTTGGCAATCAACAATAGAACACAAAAACTAAAACTTGTTTTGTGGAGTTTTTTTCATTCATATTAACACAAAATTCACGTTGCTACTGGAAAGTCTTTCACGAAACAGTCCAACTCTTCATGGAAAAATCCCATTATTCTGGTATGTCCTATGCTCTAAGGCAGTGGTCCCCAACCTTGGGCCTCCAGATGTTCTTGGACTTCATCTCCCAGAAATCCTGGCCAGCAGAGGTGGTGGTGAAAGCTTCTGGGAGTTGTAGTCCAAGAACATCTGGAGGCCCAAGGTTGGGTACCACTGCTTTAAGGCATATATTATTTTTGAGTTTTCAGTGTCCTGTGTCCAATGGCAGGTTTGCATGAAAGGAAAGTCATTCTGCAAGGTGCCCCCTTATCTGTTGCAGCTCCCTGCAATATGTTCTGTAGTGTCCTATGAAATGTGGACATACAGAAGAATCCTTCTCACCCCATTGGTTTATAGAATAAAGAGTGAAGAGGTATTTGAAGAGGAAATGGGGCTTATTATTAAGAAATGAAACTGAGATGGAACCCAGAGTGAGTGAGTGAGAGTAAGTTCTAGAAAATTACACAAGCATCTGAAGGAGCTTTATGGGAGTGTTGAAGGACTGCAACGATATGAGAAACAATAATCAGGCCCCCTGTCATGAATGAATAGAAATACTTCATACTGTTGGATGCAACTCATTTTTAATGAACTGGATCTGAAATTCATAGTCTACTGCTCTTTTTTTGCCTTTTTTTACAGAGCTGTTTTAACGTTTTAGTAAAAAAAAATAATCTGGTTTATAGCACAATAAATCCAGATTCATGGATTTGTTAGAGTCCTTCCTAACGCAGTGTTATGCTTCAGTTTTTATACTTCTGTATGAAACTTACTTGGTTTCATATGCCTTCTGAAAACGAAGGAAAACCGTGTGAGAAGGACATGTCAAAAGCTAGACTCGTTATCCAAGCAAGCATCTATTAAAGAGGGAAACAGTTGTGATTGCAGGAGGTACAATAAGAGGAAGGAAATTGTTTTTATCTTAAATACACTTAAATCCTTGAAGTTGAAGGATGAACGTGATCTTATTCTTTTGAACAATCATAAGGTGTTTCCTCTTCCACCACCTGCTATTTACTGTAGATGGAATTCCTGTGCTTTGGAAGAAGTGAGGTAGACAAGATTTTGGAACTAAAGCTTGGGAACTGAAAGCCAGTGATGTTTTTAATAAATTACATTTGACAAACTATGTTGGTGGTGGTGTTCGGAGTTTTTTTTTTTAGCATTCACTGGCATATTTTATATAGAGCTCATAGTGCTTCATATTTTTAAGTCATTTCAACAACTGTCCAAGGCAGTCCAGTATCATTCTTCACCATCTCTGAAAATATGGAAGAGAAGTAGAACAGAACATCATCAGCAAACTAACTGGTCCAATTTGCCACATGACTTTGCCAAAGAGCTAAGATGAAAGTCTATTAAAGCCTAAGGGGGATCAGACCCTTTCTGAGCGGCTTAGTAATGTTTTCAGGAGGAGAGACATACTGCTTTTTTTAGGTAGGATCAATGCACATGGGATTCTTAAACGCAGAAAACTAACACATACGTTCATTCAAAATTTGTAATTAATTTGGTTAAAGACAAAAATCCTATATACCACCAGACGTCTAGCTTTGTTTTCTTTTAGTTGACTTGGCAAAACATTTTCTTGAAGCAAAATAGGTACTGTATTTTTCTGTGTATAAGATGATACTTTTGTTTAAAATCTTTAGACTAAAAATTGAGGGCTGTCTTATACACCGAAGTAAGCTGAGCAGAGAACAAAATGGCCCATACCATGACTCTGCAAACAGGCTGCCTCCAATCAGGAGGCTTAGCTTCCTCCAATCACGAGCCTTATGTAACTGACGTCAGCTGATGCTGAACAAACCAATTGGAACACACCTTATTGGAGGTGGAGCTTGTAGGCAGTGCTTAGGTGCAACAGGGACTCTGAGCATTCTGAACCCAGAGGCTGAATACTCAAAGCTAGGTTAAGATTTCTTTATTTTGGATTAGAAAAGTGGGGGGGTGTCTTATGCATGAGGGTATCTTATACATGGAAAAATATGGTAAGTTTATGCTTATCGAATCAGCTGCTTCAAAGGACACAAAATACAATATTCATTGTTTGTGGAGGCAGCCTGCTTAATGGACTGTGGTGTTCAACCTGTAGCGAAGTCAGGTTTTATTTCTAATAAAAATAGAAATAGGATTTATTCTCCACTACTTTTCTTTAGAGCTTAACAAATGTTTACACATTTAGAGAAAGTAGGTTTCTCTAAATGTAGGTTTTTCTAAATATACATAATGCTGCTTTTAAATACTTTTGGTATAGTTTTAGGGGTAGCGTATAAAGTATTATATGAAGTATAGAAATAAAAATTTGAAGAGCACCCAACTGAGTAAGCTCTGGTTTGAAGTTTCAGCGGGGGACTCTGGTCTTCTGCCGTTGTAGCATGGACGTGGTGTGGCACAAGGCTGCAGTCAAGTTCCTTTGCTGATTTGTAGTTTAACAGATATCTAGTCAGATATTTCTCTTCTCCAGTTATGCTTCCTGATGCTAATGTGTTTAAAGAAAAGAAAAGAAAAAGGAAGCTGTTCCAGTCTGTAGGTGTCTGTTTGGGAGTGAAAGTCCCAGAAATCTGCCTGTTTTTTATTTTTAAAGAATTTTGGGATTATCGAATGAATGAATGAATGAATGAATGAATGAATGAATGAATGAATGAATGAATGAATGAATGAATGAATGAATGAATGGAGCCTATGGGCCCTATGCTTACTCACTAGGACAAAACCTCTACCATCCTAAATGCAATGTTTTGTGTGGTTATTTTTGATGGCTGGTATATTTTAGAAATGTAAGTTGTGTGTCAGTGCACATCTAAAAAAATTAAATAAATTTCTCACTGTAGTTAAGTCTGATTTGGAGGCATGTGATAATGTTGTGTATTGTGGCTATAATGTCATAGCCAAAGGGTACATCACCCAAAAGTTTATTTCTCATATTGTTCAGCACTTTAAAAAAAAACTACTTTTAGTGTCAAGTATAATGAGTGGGTAGTTGTGAATCACTTTTTCCCTGCAGCTGCAAACCTCAGAATTCTTGTTATTAATCTTTTACAGGTGGGAAGGACCGAAGAAGTGGCCTCATTCTAACAATTCCATTATGCCTTGAACAAACGAACATGGATGAGCTGAGTGTCACGCTGGACTACTTGCTAAGTATTCCAAGGTGACTCAGTCAATGTAATTCTAAAACATTCTGTATTGTCTTTTTATCACAACATGTTTCTGGATTATATAGAATCAAATTTCCTTGTGAAAAATGGCACAAGGGCATATGATGCATTAAATTAATCACATCTTAAGTACAAAAACTGTTAGCAAAGTTTTGAGAAAGAATAATGAAACACTTCAGGAGTGTAAGGTGTCTTGTGGCACAGTGGTTAAACTGCTGTACTGCAGCTGAAACTGTGCTCACGAACCGGGGTTCAATCCCAGGTAGCCGGCTCAAGGTTGACTCAGCCTTCTATACTTCCGAGGCTGGTAAAATGAGTACCCAGCTTGCCGAGGGGGTGCAATGTGTAGCCTGCATAATTAATTTGTAAATTGCCCAGATAATGCTTTAAGTGCTGTGGGGTGGTATATACAATCAGCACACTTTGCTTCATGTCCTTGAGCACACTTCCTTCTTAATTCTTAGATACAGATGTAGATATGCTGTCCTCGAATATTGTGCTTTAATATTTTAAATCCAGATATGTTACCGTATTTCCAAGGGCCTAGAAGAGGCAACAAGAATGCTTATCTCGCCAAATTTATAGATGCTTATTATTATTTAAACAACAACGTATAAAGCAGATTTTAAGCAATGCATATATTAACAGACCCTGTTTTTGCTAGAAAGAAGAGTCTAATCAGTTGTTGCTGTTGTTGTTGTTGTTGTGGGCTGTCAAGTCATCTCCCACTTATGGTGACCCTATGAACGAGCAATCTCGAAAATGTGCTGTCCTCAACAACCTTTCTCAACTCTTGTAAATTCAAGCCTGCAACTTTTTTTAGAGAGTCAATCCAACTCTATTTTGTAATAAGGTTTTGTTTTTATTTTTTTTAAAAAAACTTTCTTGTGGTTTGGCAAATTGAATCCATCTCTATTCAGAATGCCTCACATTTGTTTAGAGTGACTTTGAATGAAATTGACTATGTGAGACTCTAGAGAAAGAAGTTGGTTTTTTTTCTAGGTTTAAGCACGGTTTCCCTCCCTTTTGAATAAGAAAGTCTGTGACATCTTTAAGCTTTGTCGCAAATACTAATTTTTTTGTCTACTCTTCCTGTTGATTCCTTCATAAAATCATAGGAGAAAAATCTTGCCAGTTTACATAATACTGGTTTATTTTTCTTTAATATTTACATCTAAACCTTGTAGTTTTGTTTTACAACAGAGCTGGGGAATGTATGCTCCTCTAGATGTTACTGGATGGCAGCTCTTGTTGGTCATAGCCTACAAAACTAATAGTGAAGGATGGTGGGAGTTACAGTCCAACACTGTCTGGAACAGTAGCCATATGTAGAGGTTTGCATAAATTGCCATGGCTAATTGACAAGATGCTGGGCTGTATCTCAGTCATGTTTGTGCCTGGTCACATACCCAATTGTATAAGATAGATATACCCAGCAACTCGTTAATTAGTTACAGCAAGCTATGCCTTTCATACATGAACATTAGTAGGATGTCTCTGATTTAGAGATCTTGCATTCCTTTTCTTGCTTTAGAGCAGTGGTTCCAAATCTTGGTTTCCCAGATGTTCTAGAACTAAAATTTCCAAAAGCCTAAAATTTGCTGTGCTGGCCAGGATTTCTGGGAGTTGTAATTCAAAAACATCTGGTGAGCCAAGGATGGGAACCACTTCTTTAGAGGAAGCAACATATGTACTGCTGCCACTGAACAAAGAATTACTGTCTGGCAGATGGAACAGTCGTAGAAAGTTGTGTACTGCTTGCCAGGCACTTTTATTGCTGAAATAGGTGCTCAAACAGCCCTTCTGGTATTCTGTAAAAATCACCATTGCTTCTAATACCACTGCTAGTGCTGTGGAAGGGTCATCACATGACTGCATAGCAGCAGTAGCATAAACACAACAGTGCTCATGTGCTAGGACTGGACCCTAATCCCAAGAGTGCTAGAAGGGATTGAGGCTCAGTCCCAGCATGGTACTTATGCTTGATCACTACGGTAGTGGATAAACTGAATGTGACATCAGGTCAAAAGAAGAACCGAAGTGAGCAGTTATGTTCTGAAGCAGCAAGGTCTGAGAGTCTGTTAAAGAATCCTGATCCTTTACATCAGGGGTCAAGGAACTTTTTTACCTTTTACCCCCCTCCCCCCAAAATGTATATACGCCGACATTACCCCCTTGATTCGAAAGGAAGGAAATCATACATTATTTGAATTAAAAGTATTATTGAATCTACACAGGCTGTATACCGAACTAACAGGATGCACTAAATTTGATAAAGATGTGCACTATTTTTGCTGGAACACATTGCACTCCAGCCATGGTGTGGTATAGGGAGCTGTAAGGTGTCCATCCTGCCTAGCAAGTTGCATTAAATTTTTGCTAGCTCGCAGAGGATTTAATCATCATCAGTGGCTACCAGAGTGGTGCTAGCAATGAGATGCTTGCTAGAGACAGCCAACGCAGAATTGATGAGGGGGCTTTCCCTACCACTGTAATCATTCTATGTGTGGTGTGCAAAAAGGAACAAACCAGGCTAAAGGCCATGTCACCCACCCTGGTGCCACAGCACAAAATCAAAGGACTATTGCGCCATTTTTTAAATCATCATCATGGAAAAATTCAGCAGTGGCCAGAGGATTGGGAAAGATCAGTCTACATCCCATTCCTAAAGAAGGGCAGTGCCAAAGAATGCTCCAACTACCGTACAATTGCACTCATTTCCCCCTCTAGCAAGGTTATGCTCAAAATCCTCCAAGGTAGGCTTCAGCAGTATGTGGACCGAGAACCTCCAGAAGTACAAGCTGGATTCCGAAGGGGCAGAGAAACTAGAAACCAAATTGCTAACATGTGCTGGATTATGGAGTAAGCCAGAGAGTTCCAGAAAAACATCTGCTTCATTGACTACGCAAAAGCATGGCAGAAAGTGAGGAGGATTTAGCATAGGCATCCTTCAGTCTCGAGAATCTATGGTGATATGCTCTGAATCGAGGAATGTCCTCTCCAGAGCATGAAGCCTGGGTAAGGTAATATGGAGGATAGGCTGTTACCCAAGCAGCAGATCCCCCCTCTCCACATTGCTGAAATGGTCCAATGGAAAGGCAAAAGCCAATACAACTGGTTCCAGCTCCGGATTTTGCCTCTAGGTTAAATCCTGAAGCCTTTTCCATGAGTGGATATAGCCACAAGGCAGTGGAGGTTTGAAGTCGTAGTTTTTCTTCTCCTAGATGGGCTGCCTTCCATGAATAGGAGAAGGTGACAACAGAGGACGAGATGGTTGGACAGTGTCACCGAAGCAACCAACATGAATCTGACCCAACTCAGGGAGGCAGTGGAAGATAGGAGGGCCTGGCGTGACTAGTGAGTCAGCCATGGGAGTTAATAGTATCTTTGTACGGTTAGGAGAGTGCCAAAAATGGTCTGAAGATCAACATCAAAAAAACTAAGATCATGGCCACTGGGCCCATCACCTCCTGGCAAACAGAAGGGGAAGATATGGAGGCAGTGACAGATTTTACCTTCTTGTGCTCCATGATCACTGCAGAGGGTGACAGTAGTCGCGAAATTCAAAGATGTCAGCTTCTTGGAAGGAAAGCAATGATAAACCTAGACAGCACCTTAAAAGCCACCTCCCCCCCACCTTAATTCAAGGTTTCTCTTTTTCTTGCCTGTTCTTTTTCATAGTTTTGAGTCAGTCTCACTCTCTCTTTCCCTCACACACACACACATCCATGCATCCACCTGCCCTGCCTCCATTTCCTCCCTCCCTCCATTTTCTCCCTCCATTTAAAGCTTGATGAAGTCCTCGGTCTCTCACACCTTTCTTCCCTCCTTCCCTTGCTTGCTCCTTGATCCTTTCCCTCCTGCTGCTTCTTTGCAGTTATTTCTGGAGGAAGCAGTCATTCAGAAGCCCTGGATTGATTGATTGATTGCCTGGGCTAATCCACAGCTGCAACCAATCAAGGAGCTTATCTCCGATCTCTGAACTAAGGGAGGATTTACAAGTGCCCGCTGCAACCAGGAAGTAACAGGGAGAGTTTTGGTTGCAGAGTGTGGGGGTGGGAGAGAGGTTGGGGGGGTAGCACTCTGCTCATTACCCCCAGGATTTTCACTTTTACCCCATTTGGGGTAATTTACCCCTGTTCCAAGTGCTGGGAAGGGGAAGGTAGGATTGCAGATGATGTTGTCAGTCACTCAGAACATCCCCACAGGATATGCCTTGGAAGCCCACTTAGGTACTCCTACAAGACCTACATTGGCATAAGAGAATGTGGTCTTGGAAGTATGTGGGGGCAGAGGGGAAATGCCATTATACAACCATTTGTTGTCGTTTATTCCCCATGGACCAGAGCACGCCAAGCCCTCCTGTGTCCCACTGCCTCCCGGAGTTGGGTTAAATTCATGTTGGTCGCTTTGATGACACTGTCCAACCATCTCATCCTCTGTCGTCCCCTTCTCCTCTTGCCGTCACACTTTCCTAATATCAAGGTCTTTTCCAAGGAGTCTTCTCTTATGAGATGGCCAAAGTATTGGAGCCTCAGCTTCAGGATCTGTGCTCCCAGTGAGCACTCAGGGTTGATTTCCTTTAGAATTGATAGGTTTGTTCTCCTTGCAGTCCAGGGGACTCTCAGGAGCTTCCTCCAACACCACAATTCAAAAGCATCAATTCTTTGGTAGTCAGCTTTCTTTATGGTCCAGCTCTCACTTCCATACATGACTACAGGGAAAACCATAGCTTTGACTATTCGGACTTTTGTCGGCAAGGTGATGTCTCTGCTTTTTAAGATGCTGTCTAGGTTTGTTATCACTTTCCTCCCAAGAAGCAGGTGTCTTTTAATTTCATGGCTGCTGTCACCATCTGCAGTGATCATGGAGTCCAAGAAAGTGAAATCTGTCACTGCCTCCATATCTTCCCCTTCTATTTCCCAGGAGCTGATGGGACCAGTGTTCATGATCTTAGTTTTTTTCATGTCGAGCTTCCGACTGTTTTTTGCACTCTCCTCTTTCACCCTCATTACAAGGTTCCTTAATTCCTTCTCACTTTCTGCCATCAGAGGGGTAGCATCTGCATCTCGGAGGTTGTTGATATTTCTTCCGGCAATCTTAATTCCGGTTTGGGATTCCTCCAGTCCGGCCTTTCGCATGATGTATTCTGCATATAAGTTAAATAAGCAGGGGGACAATATAGAACCTTGTCGTACTCCTTTCCCAATTTTGAACCAGTGTTTCCATATCCAGTTCTAAGTGTTGCTTCCTGTCCCACATATAGGTTTCTCAGGAGGTAGATAAGGTGATCAGGCACTCCCATTTCTTTAAGGACTTGCCATAGTTTGCTGTGGTCCACACAGTCAAAGGCTTTTGCATAGTCAATGAAGCAGAAGTAGATGTTTTTCTGGAACTCTCTGGCTTACATTAGACATAGCTTAATCAAGTCTATAAGTGATGAGATATTGAAATACTTAGGTTATGCTTCATGTTTTAAATACATACACTTTTTTCTTTTCCTTTTCCCATTTGATAGTGAAAAGTGTAAAGCAAGAGGATTTACTGTTATAGTGGATGGAAGAAAATCTCAATGGAATGTTGTCAAGACTGTTGTGTTAATGCTACAGGTAATTGTTTATGAATTCATATTTTAAAAAAGTTCTGTTGCGTTTAATCTGTATTATAGACACTTTTATTTCCTGGGAAATCAGTCATGCTCATTATCATGTTTTAAATTATGATAGCTTTAGCAAGTACAATCTGGGGTTTGTTTTTTTGTATGAACCGTAGTGAGAAACATGCCTGAGCACTCTTTCCTTCACATGCAAGGAGAGGCAGTGAGTGATTTTCTTTTGCACCGTGCAGCAATTCACTATCCCGTTTTGTCAAAATAGGATAAATTATACAGTAGTATGTGAACAAGCTGGATAGACCCAGTGAGTTAGGTATCTGATATGAAGCCAAAGGTTGGGAGTTTGATTCCCCACTGTGCCTCCTGAGAAAAGAACCAACCTGTGTAGCCTTGGACAAACTGCACTATCCCAGGGCAGTCCCGGAAGAAGGGAATGGAAAATCACTTCCCAGTGCTCTCTGCCTAGAACACTCTGGAAAGGGTTGCCGTGAATCAAAATTGACTTGACCACAAACATCCACAGAGTTATTGGAGTGAGGCAGATTGGGAACCTAGTTCATTAGAAATTGCAGACAGAAGCTTTAGATTTCTTCTGCCCGTGCAGTCATTGGGTAAATGAAGAAAGGCTTATGTGAGCCAAAGTCTTGCTATGACTTGAGCATGTAAACGTATTCATAGCATCCAAACAGAGTCATTGTAGCTGTAGGATGCTCTTAAAGAAAAATTTATTTCCTGTAATTAGTATTTTAAGTTCAGGGGTGGGCAATATGTCGTTCTCCAGATGTTGGACTATAGCTCCCATAAGCCTTTGTCATTGGGTGTTGTGGAAAGGTCTGATGGGAGTTGTAGTCTAACAGCATCAAGGTCAGCACAGGTTGCCCACATTTGGTTTAGTCATTACTTAAAGTTTAGTGTGTATCTTGCATGCTTGAACAGGTACAGTAATGCTTGGTAGAGAACAGTAGATCAAAGACAGTCTAATCTTTGATCCTCACATAAAAGTTTCTGTAGAAAATCAAGCTGATAAAAGTGTCTTGGAACTATAAAAGCTCACTTCTAGGAATCGAGTGCATAGAATGAAAAGGACTACGTGATCCAGCACTTCTAGGATTGTGTAATGTCAAGAAGGCTGATGAGATGTTTATGATAACCCTTCCTATCTTGAAATGGTCCTTTCCCGCAGAACCAGAGACCTTTGGGTAGTATGGGCAGCGTATAAACAAACAAACAAATAAACAGTGATGGCCACAGATGAATGTGTAAAGATGTTCATCAAGACATTTTCATTTTCTCCTACAGCAAAGATGTAGTTCATACACATTTCTGGCACTCTTAAATAATAGTCTCTAATGGCATAAACTAAAGAAGTAATAGGGCTGATTTCCCCCCCCCCAACATTTTTATAAGATCAGATATGGACAGACAGACAGAAACCTTTAATGACATACTGTACAAAATTAAAACACACTAACATGCAAATAAAACATTCAGCAGCTAACATGTGGCAGGAGACAGCCAAATGAGATATAGTCAATGCACTAAATTCAGTTTTTAGTCCCAGTTGCAGTAGACCCTCAGATCAGGGGGACTTCATTTAGTAAGCCAATTTGTACATAGATCCCATAAATTCACTATATCAGTTCTACTTGTGACTAGCAGCTGGATTCAGCCTGATGTAATTCCTTCATTTTGAAATATATTTTTGCAGTTTCTTTCTCTAGCTACAACTAATTTTGGGTTTTGGATTTCTTGTGTACCTTCTGGATGTGCCAGCTTGAAGGGCAGTATAAAAATACTTTTAACAAATAAATAAAAAGTAAGGCCACTATATGAGTTTCATACATATACACTATATATATTTAAAAAAGGCAGGTACTTAGAAACCATTGTTGGGGAAGCAAGGCCTTGACTACCTAACCCTGAGAAAACAGAAATGGGAGATATGGCTGCACTAGAAAACTAGAATTGCTTATTCCTTATTTTAATTTAGCAAGCTGCCCTCTCTTTTAATGCTGCTGTTTCTAAGGAGAGTGAAATCAGAAGCCCTTTTTTCTCTTGGTTTTATGAAAATGTTCAACAGATGTTGGCTTAATGAGGTTTGACATTTTGACCCCAAACCAATTTTTTTTGTCAAGCGACAAGACATAACTGCTCTGCCTCTTCGTGGGTCCATATGAATGCTCTTTTGCAGGATGTCAGAGTCATTGAATAATCAGCAGTTTGTTCTTGCTGTCTGTCTATTTAATATGTTATGTATGTGTTCACAGAAAGAGGCAAGACATGAAAAGCAACTTGACCGCAAGGGGATACAACTGTGAACAAAAAGCAACTCTGAAGTGGTCTCAGTTGTGAAGGAAGGCAGTTTTTGTTTGTTAGAAGAGTGGAAATTAAAATCTGAGCAATATAAAGAATATAGTTTATTTCAATGAACCAAAATAGTGTGTGTTTTAGAGTTGGGACTTCTAAAATCAAATAATATTACCGTATTTTTCGCTCCATAAGACGCACCTTTCCATAAGACGCACCAAATTTTTAGGAGAAGAAAACAGGAAAAAAATTATCTGCTTTCTTCTCCTAAAACTTGGTGAGCCTTATGGAGAGGTCCATCTTATGGAACACACCCTAGGGTCCTAGGGTGTGTTCCAGGACCCTTTGGAGCCTCCCCCTGCCTCCCTCGGGGGCCAGAGGGGGTGAAATCGCCAGCTTCTGGGGCTCTTCTGAAGTTTCCCAAGCCTCAGAAGAGCCCCCAAAGGTGGCGGTTTCATCCCCTCTGGCCCCCAGGGGAGGCAGGGTCAGTCTCCAAAGAGTCCTAGGGTGTGTTCTAGGACCCTTTGGAGACTCACCCTGCCTCCCTCAGGGGCCAGAGGGGGCAAAATCGCCACCTTCTGGGGCTCTTTTGAGGCTTGGGAAGCCTCAGAAGAGCCCCAGAAGGTGGCGATTTTGCCCCCTCTGGCCCCTGAGGGAGGCAGGGTGAGTCTCCAAAGGGTCCTAGAACACACCCTAGGACTCTTTGGAGACTGACCCTGCCTCCCCTGGGGGCCAGAGGGGATGAAACCGCCACCTTTGGGGGCTCTTCTGAGGCTTGGGAAACTTCAGAAGAGCCCCAGAAGCTGGCGATTTCACCCCCTCTGGCCCCCGAAGTGTGTGTTTTAGAGTTGGGACTTCTAAAATCAAATAATATTAAATCAGCAAGAAAACTCTTTTCAGCATTTTCTAGTTAGAGAGTACTCAGAAGTGGTTCGCCATTCCCTTCTTCTGAGGGCACCCTGGGACTGTGTTGCCTGCCCAGTCTCTCAGGAGAAATAGTGGGGAAATTGAACTTCGAACCTCTGGCTCTGCAGTCAAATACCTTAAACGGAGTTATTCAGCCAGCTTTATCTCATAAGAGACACATTATCCTCAGATATTGAGGTTATTCAGACCATAAGCATATGCCATTAACTATGTGAAAATAAGTCTAGTTGAACTCATTGGGGATTATTCCTGAGTAGATTGTTTAGAATTGTGTTAATAGTATACCTCTCAAAATTGCATTTTTAAGATTACGACTTACCAGAAGCTGTTGCTTAATGCTTCATTTTGCACAGTGTTCCTCTCTCTTGTAAGCATTCACTGCCATCATAGTTTGTAGTTGCCTGTAGGTTGCGCCCAGAGAAACTAGCTGATGAATTCCTGACTTGCTATTGCTATTGAAATAGTAAAAGTAATATTGCAAATCACTGCATGCTGCCTATTGCAAGAAAAATGTATAAGCACTAATGTGTTAGTATATATTTTATGTACCAGAAGGAGGAGTATACCATCATGATTTTTAGCCATTTACGGGATAAATAGAAAAATTTACAGCAGTAAAGTGAGAATTCTAATTGTGTATCTTGTAATCTTCCTAGAATGTTGTTCCAGCTGAGGTATCACTTGTCTGTGTAGTAAAGCCAGATGAATTTTGGGACAAGAAGGTTACACATTTTTGCTTTTGGAAAGAGAAAGATAGACTTGGCTTTGAGGTAAGTGAATCTTTTTTTTAAAGTGTTTAGTTATTTATTTAACACATTTATATGCTGCTTTTCTTCTAAAGAATCCAAGGCCGCTAACTGGTTTAAAAGAAGCAAAGTTAAAAGCTAAGTAATAAATGATTGCTATATTTAAAAAGCATTAAACAGATATTGTATTAAATTCATAATAAGAATAATATTAAAAAAACAAGTAAAATACAGAATAAAATGATCCCTGTTGGAGTCTCGGCCAACTAAAAAGCATTAGTTGGAGTCTCCACGGGGTCTCGGCCCCATGGAACTCCAACTGTGGGTTTAAAAATCCCCATGGTTAACCATTCATTTAAAGGACAGCCTGCCTGAAGAGAAGGGTCTTCATCTGCTTGCCAAAGGACAGCAAAGATGGGGACAGCCTGAACAATGTTAGACCTGAATGTTGTAGTTAAGTTTCATAAAGCTGATCTACAAAGCAAATGTTGGCAGAAATCCTATTGTGCTTCTGTGCCTACTCAATGGGAAGGATTTTGTTGGTTGGGGCAGATTCCTGCTGCTTCTTTTGCAATTTCAGGATGTACACAGCTCCTATACAATGCAATGAAACTATGTGCCTGAAATCACAAAAGGAAGCTTTTAATCCATAGCAGCCTGCCCCTGTGAATGACATTGTTCCCATTATGTAGGCAGACCCTGCCCAACAGCAGTAACATAGTTTGTGATTGTGTCTCTTAGGCCTGTAAAATCCTTAGTCTGACCCTTTTTCCTTATTTCTAAATGTGTGGAATATTCTTCTTTTTCGGTGTTAGGCTGTAGCATCCATTTGAAAGATAATGCATTGCTGCGCTGAATTTAATGCACACCTTGTTATTTACAAATGTTATGAGCACTCTGAATTTTCAATATGGTTCTTCCATTCATTCACCTCCCAGTTATTGTAGCCATGGGAACTATGTTGTCAGGAATCTGTCTCATTCAGCCACTTTAGATCTCTTTATGTCCCCGCCTTTCCTCCCCTTTTGCCATTGCTTATCTGCTGGCATTTGTGTGCTACATATATAGTGGTAATGTAACAATTCTGTTTAAAATAGGGTCACCTGTGAAGTCTGTGTTTGTCTCTCTCTCTTTTGACACTAAAATAGTGATTACATATTAATGCTTGTGTTGAACTGGAAATGACTAGATTGGCATCATCTATAGCTCTAGGAGCTGCTTGACATATTTTATCTCTCTTGCTGTGAAACTTGAATGAGAGGAAGTATTCTTCGTAAGGTTTTTAGATTTCCTCCATTTAAAACAATATTGCAAGTTATTTGGCTGATTTGAATTGTGTATCTTGGGAGATACTTTAGGTGTAATAGCTAACCATGTGAGAGCATCAAATACTGTATCTTCAGCTCAGATTTCTTCTGTGCCATCAGCTAGTGGGTATTAGGCAAGTCATTCTCATTCAGCCCAATCCTTTTGTCTAAAAGTACAAGAACAATGTGTCGCAGTACCTTGCAGTATTGTTGAGTGGATTACTACTGCACTGTATAGATTAAACTCTTTGAGGAGTCTAAAATAGGAAGTCAATATTAAACATAGTATACAGCCTCAGCCAAGTTTGATAACATGCTAAGTGAACTGAAACAAGGAACTTGTAAAAGTTTCAGCAAACAACTGAAGTACCTGTATACTGAGAATTTGGAGAGAAAAACAAAGAGGAGGTTGCTTTATCAGCCTGGGCACACAAGACAAGAAGCTCAGCTAAATCTGTAGACAAATACTGTATTAGAATGTATTTAAATGTTAGGCAAACTGGACAATAGTATAAACTAGACTTGGTCTTGTGATTGTATTAATTGCAGGCTGCTTATGGAAAAACAAGCAGAGGCCAATCAACACATTTTTTATGAAACTTTCTTCATGGCTATACCTGTTCAGTTGCCACCAAATCTCTGTGTGATCACATTTCATTAGGTATAAAGAGTGCTGACGCACTCGGTGATGGGACTGTGTAGGAACAGAAGAACTCTGTTCAATATGTGTCCCAGGTAAAGGTGGGCACCGGTTCAGCAGTTAGGCATGGTTTGTTTTCGAGTCAAACAGCTGATCTGTGGTTCAGTGCTCCATCCCTTCCGGCAGGTACTCACTTGGTGGCAGTGCCCTGCTCTTCCTCCTCCAGGCACTGCCGCTGTGGGCACCTACTGGAGTAGCTGGGGCGCCAAACCACAGATAATCTGTTTGGCTGGGAAGCAAACTGTGCAAACTGCCAAACTAGTGGTTCGTGCCCATTTCTAATCCTAATTGTAAAACTTCCAGTCCTCACCTTAAGTTGATGAAGATATTCAGATGTCTATTCTGATAATTTGATTATGATCAAAACAATTCTTTAATCGTTTTCAACTAAATGCTGAGCAGTAACTTCATTGCTGCCCCTATCACAGCTGTCTCAGTAACATGTTCTCCCATGTCACATTAGAACCTGGAATAATTGTAGACATTGCAAACTTTAAGCTTTGGAAGAATTTTACCCACATAACTGGTCAGTGCTCTTGCTGAAAGCTGATGCTGACATCTTTCCAGGCAAATTAACAGAATGCCTAAAGTAAAAATGTGATGTACAAATGAGGCTGCTTGGGTAATATCCAGATACTAGCATTTTGAGGTGGGAAAGTGGACAGTTTCAATATCAGTCGTTTCATTTTAAAATGTATTTAATTATATTCAAATTAGAGCATTTAATTAGAATGTTGCTCTGGCCATGTGGGTAATTTCTGCTGCCGTAGCTAAAGTTAAGAACATGAATCCCCGTAAGCTTACATTATACAGAATTACTGCACTAAAAGTTAATTGTGTTGGTTTCAGCAATTGAATTATACGTGATCAGTTGAAAATGGTACAGGAAACTAATTTTTAAATGGTAATTTGACAAATATTTAGATCTTAAATAACCAGCATGTGAGATATCTGAGACCACAGAGGATGTTTTTAATGAATAAAAATATGAAAACTTGTCTCTGCATCTCAAGAACAAGTAGACTACTATTCTGTTTTTGTGGGTAAGCACACTGAAGTGGTGCATTTTGTGTTCTGCCAGTGCAGAAATGCCCCAACTGCTCTTTGTGCGACAGAAAATGAATTACAGAATCTTTTGCCTGGCTGGAGGTAACTAGAAGGTTGCTAGATACCGTGGGCTGCCCTGGAGAGTGAAAAAATGCTCAAAGCAGGGCTGTGATCATAGATGGGGAAAGAGGTCTTTGTGGGATGTTGGATGTGACCCAGAGGAGGCCTTGGGTCTGTGGAAACCTAAAGCCCCTCATTCTCCCGTTGTGTCCCGCCCTGCCCCCACCCCACCCCACCCCCGGCGTCCAAAAGCGGGGAGAAGTATGCCAGTCTTGGAACCAAAGTGTCCGTTTTTCTTTCTACTGAAACAAATGGAAACAAACAAGAAAACAAGGAGAAACTGGCAGAGGGAAAAGGCTGCCCTCTGTGATTGCCAATGTGAAACTGGCCAGGTTCAGCTTTGGGTTGCCTCCCTGACACAGACTTTGGCCCCTCTGATAGGACTGTTTTGCCAGAGTCAATGACCATTTTAATTGAGTGACATGGTTTAGCTGTGGTTGAAGAGAAAGTACTGCTGGAAGAGTAGCTCCTGGTTGTGCCTTGTGCTCTCATCCAAATTGCAACCTATATAAAGAGATTGTGCGAAGGTTTGTGTGCTTAGGGATTCCTATTCATTTCCCCTCAGATTCTCAATGAGTTTACAGGGTTATTTCTTCTTTGAGCTAGGAGGACATTTTTGATCAGTGTTCCTGGGGTGATGGCTGTCATTAATATATTGCTTAGGGATCCAAAATATATCAACAATCCCCCAGCAGATTATTGCTTTGTGTTTTCAAGCAGTACCCTAAGAATCCTAGTATAATGTAATGTATCACATTACTGGATTTTTAAAGCAAAACTTGAGCGGAAAATATCCCCCCCCCCCAGCATGTACACTCCTCTGTTTCTTTAAATTCAGAGCCTGGTTATACTGTATAGTGAAAAATAAAGAGATATACCAGTGTGGTGCAGTTATTAACATGTAGGACTCTGGAAACCTGGGTTCAGATACCTTTTCAAGCATGACACTCATTGGATACCATGGGCTAGGGATACTCTCTCAAGCTAATCTTCCTCATAATTGATTGATTATTTACAGTATTTATATTATTTGTGTGCCACCTTTCTCCCCTCCCCATAAGGGTCCCAAGACAGCTCACAACAATTAACATTGTACCATAATAAAAATGTTAATGGAGAAGAACCTGGCATACATTGATTGGTACTTTCTTGTTACTTTACACATTCCCAGGTTATTTCTATTGAGAATGAGTTGTCCTAGCTCAGATAGTCTATTCGATTGACAGTTCTTTCTTCTCTCATAGAGTTGGGAAGACAGATCTTAAGAGATCTTGTAAAGATACTGCTTTATCTCTAGAAATTGTCTAAGTAACTAAAAGAAAATGGAGCAGTCCGTGACCGTGGAGAATTGAAAGGCTTCTTTTCTTCAAGGTTTGATTCATAATTGCCTCCAGATCCTTCTGATACATTTCCATGTAGGGTTTTTTAATATTATTTTTAAATTTTTATCTGAATATAAATATAAAACTGTCAAATTAGTTCTTTGAATATGAAAACTCTGTGAATGGAACTCTGACCTATTTCCAGTCTCATGAATATGGTCGAATGAGTTTTAAAAGATTTAGATTTGGAAGCAAGAGACATGAACATCTTAAAAGTTTAAGAAATGATAAAAATAGATAAATTGATCTGTCTTTTTCTTTGTTTGGAGAATAAAAAAGTGTGAAATGCCATATGACTTTGCTGAACAACTAGAATATGTTCCTGCATTTTACATATTAGTCAGTCATTTTTAATTTCCAATAAAAGGCTCCATCGTATTAATTAAGACTATCCATCTTTCCTGGAAGCCCTGGAACATGGAGCTTTGCATTGAATGGTGATGTTGCACAAGTGGAAAGTGCTTTCAC